TATATTAAATTTTAACAATAAATTTCTATAAAAAAATTTCGTAAACTAAATTTCTATAACTTTTAAACAATCTACAATCAATCATTTAGTGCTCAAGCTTTCCGCTTATTTGGAAGTAGATCTGTTTCTTGTGCTTGAAAATCAAAATTTTACCAAAATATGTATAGAAAGTATGCTTTAAAGCAAATGGAGTCCAAAGAACTAAATTTCCAAAAAATGTTATGAAAATCACTCGCTGCCACTTATTGAATTGTGCTATTTAAAATCTCATAGTTTAACATATGCTCCAAACATTAACTAAACGAAAAACGCTTCGTCTTATTAGTGTCTTAAAATTATTTAAAAACTAATCAAATAAAAAAACGTATTGAAATTGAACGACAAAAATATAGCGGAAGCCACAGAAAAGCAGTTAATTTCTATGTATAAATAAATATTGAACTAACTGCGAAATATCTGCATGTAAAATTCTTTTAGAAAAGGCAGCACCAGTGAATAGTCTGAACTTGGCTTGAATGCTTCAGTAATCTTAAATATTTTTTAAAACAAAATCCACTCACTCAAATGATTATGCCACAGATTGTCTTTAACTTTAATTGTTAACGTTTCAAATAAGTAAGTCGTACCAATATGTATTGTATAGAAATAATCGTAAGGATTTGTGTATGTAATTAAATAAAAAATAAAAATATTCTATTGTAATTTGAAATATTAAATAATTATACGGTTCAATTGACGCTTTAAATTAGTTTATATTTATATAATATATGTACATACACACACATACACACACACACACACACACACACACACATACACGCGTATTCTAAGTAACCATTTAAGTTAAAACTAAGTTGTAAATATACCGTTTTTTCGTTTTTGTATGTAATGCGTAAATGAACTTCGAGCGTTTGGTGAATTTCCGCTTTATTTTCTCGAACTGTTCAAGCATTAAGTCTTTCACATTGTAAATCATTCATTAATATTATTGTGCATTCATTCATTCATGCAAATAATTTGTAAATTCATACAACATGCACTCACACTCACACATACACACACACACACACATAGGCATAGAAATGCAGCTATGAAATAAGCCTGTATATTCCTAATTTGCATTGATCGATGATTATAGTATTATTACTTAGCATTAGGTTTTCATATGAGCTTAACAAAATAGAATAAAATCGCTTTGAAATTAAGCAATGCAATACGCATATGTTTGTAATTAGCGCGTTAATGCAGATATTTATAGCGGTAATATGTAAGTACATATGTATTTTTATAGTATTTTAATAGCAATTTAAGTGTTTACATGCAACAAAAAAATGCCAATAGATTTTCTATAATTTCAGTGAACATAAAGAACAATTTTAGTTGAAATAATAATTTAACAAATCAAGC